CTAAAGTACTAATTATACATTAATATAGTGTGAATGATGCCGAGGCCTTCACTTGCAACACACACATATTTCTATTGTAGATTGACTTTAATTTAGAATCATCAGTTGTCGATCCAACGTTATATTAAGAGCAAATCCCCGGAAGGAGTGATTTGGAGATATTACACTTGTTGATACGTCTCAGTCATATAAAGTTATTCAAAGTCAGTCATGTTGGGAGGTTGATGGAGTTCATTTAGGTATTTCCAAATTATCTTCTCATTATTTTTCTACATTGACAGATGGAGATGAAACTCTTACGGTTGAATTATCTGTACAAAAGATGAGAAAGTGTGTTAAAGAAATAGCTAAAAAGCCCTCTGTTGTGTGTGTTATTGCGACCGGAAAACAATGAAGTTTGAATGAATAATTGATTCATATTCGGCAGCATTCAGTTCACTTACAGATTATTTTGGAAGAATACGTCCATGTTTTGTTTCTAATTACAATTTTCGTTGCAGCTTTGCTTTGATCCTCTTTTGGAATGACTTCTTCTCCATAGCAACAGTGGCTGAGCCTTCTGGGTATCGTAGTATTAATAGCCATCTGGCGTATCAAACTGACGGAAATAACAAGACTTTGAGGGGAACACATTTAGAAATGAGGGCCAAAAAAATATCCTTCACATATCCAGAAGATTTAGTTATAATGTGCATTGAGGAAAGCTTTCAGATAGGAATCCACTGTGTGAATGACTCGGACATTTCAATGGATATACAGTACTTTAAATTCAGTTTGAACCACTTGAAAAACCTACTTTTCACACGGTTTAGAACAATTCATCATCCCACGAGGCTTCAGACTGTATTCCAATTGTAGAGGTTTTAATGTCATATGCACAAAGCTACAGTGTAGATATGGCAATCAAATTATTATGACCCGAGCTCCTCCAACGATGCAACATATATAATAAAATACAAATAAAAAAATAGTGCAAGAAGTCTATATACACGTAAATAGAATATGATATATACAAGAACAGAATTTAAAATTAAATATTGTACAGTAAGATTAAACTAAATACTGTTTATTACAGTGATAACTATTTAGATGAGTAAGTACATTGCAAGATGACAACAGATGAATGTTTATGGAGGCACTTAACAAAGCTCAGATACATTCCAAAGCTCAGATACAATACAAAGCTCAGATACAATACAAAGCTCAGATACAATGCAACATCCCATAATTGGCATAGAGCTGTTGAGGGCCGGACCATTAATGATAGTCTGAAGTCTGGTGCTGTTTGGAAGATTTTCGTATTTTTTGGCGAAAGATGCGTTGCCATGGCAACGACATACGGTGAATTTCGAGTCGTACGGATAAAGTCCCTAGGAGAAGATATATTTTGTACGGAGGACGAAAAACGCGATAAATCGTGTTTTTCCAACGCCAAATTCAAAATGGCCGACTTCCTGTACATTATTTTATACCCCTCCAAGAGGCTTTTTGGTTCGTCTCCGCACCCTAGATATGCGTAGCGAGTTCCGTTCGTTTACGTGAAAGTTAAAGTAGGGGGAGTTAACGTTAAAAACGGAAGTGGGCGTGCCCTACGCAATTTTTGACGCAAAGTTCCCGAACCAATTACACATCGCAATTTTGTAAACTTTTGACGCGCGTGCAAAATTTGGTGAGTTTTCACGTCCACCTCACTGTAGTCGCATGGGCTACCTATACAGCCATGATTTAGGCCACTTTTAATGGGCTTTTGCCCCTCGTTTTCCCTGTTTTTTGTGGGTTTTGCATGGTTATCGCTCCCTTTGCGAGCGACTAAATTGATCGTAACGATATCAATTATGCGAGTTGCAGTGGGCTCGCCCGCGACCGATTTCAATAGGGTCTTCGCCGACCTAGGTCTCAGACCCTAATAATAGCAAGTAATAATTGGGAGGGTTGGCGGGGCTGTTCTTATGTTCTCTGAGGGGAGGCTCACCTTCCCACACTTTGAAAACCCCTGCTGTAAACTATATTAGTTTTAAATGTAATAAGTGCAAAATCTCCTTGTGTAACACCATGTCTGATAAAGATAAACAACTTTTAGAAGATTATCAGTAACTTTAATTCAGCTTTAGTTGTTTAGCATGATTCATTGATAAAATGCACAGAAAAAATAGTAACAGCCAATCACGGCTCAGTCTGCAGCTTCCATCTCCTCTAACAGTTCTGTTAATAAAGCTTTAAACAGTGAGTTATTAACACCTGCAACCTAACCAACCAACAAAACAAACATCCCTCTCCCATTTGTTTCACCCTCACACATATTACTTTGTCTGGAAAAAACTAAACAAAAACAATATCCGCCCTAATCTTCCTCCTGGGTAAGCCTTCATAAGATTCAACTACAGTACACCCAAATCCTAATGATGAGTAATTGCATAAAAAAACTCATATCGCTTTCCTCCCAAATGAGTCAACAAAGCAAATCTCCTGCATAACAAATGGCGACATGCCAGTAATCGTTAAGCTATTATAAGCGGATGGGCTAATTACCGTACATCTGCACAGCTCGCCGTTATGGCAGAAGATTTCCCACCGCTGTCAGTCTGCATAATGGGAACCAACGCCACAGGATACCAACTCTGGCGCTCATTTACCTCCTGATTAAGTGCTGCTTGACCTCAACTTGGAAAAAGTCTGATACGAAACACAACTTTTGTATCATTCGTGTCCTCGGTTTGAGTCCTGGCAGCGTGGAATCGTTCACAAGCGTCACACAGAGCAGTAAGTGAAAAGCTCATCAGTAATCCATACAGCCTTCAGATGACATACATCTCCACTGTAAACATTAGGCTAATGACTTTACTCAGTGTGTGTGGAATAATTGAGCCGGAAGGAAGGTCTCCTATTAACAGTCGCCCTGCTGCGGCATCAGATAACACCTTAATTCAATTAGTTTGTTTATGTTTACTTCAGAAATCAGAAACAGGTTTATCTCCAGGTAGGTTGAGACGCAGGGGTAGACATTAAGGGTAAAATGCGGGCCGGTGGAATTGTATTATCACTGGCCCCACCATTGTAACCACTGGTCCGGAGCAGTAATGCACTAACTACATTACTACTTGTACTACAGCATTTGAATAATCCGTTCTTCCTCATTTTCCTCAATTGTTCATATTTGTTACAAATATGAACAATTGAGGAAAATGAGGAAGAACGGATTATTCAAATGCTGTAGTACAAGTAGTAATGTAGTTAGTGCATAAATTACTATTGCAACAAATGTGTTAATTTTCTTCATTATTAGTCGTTTTTTTTTGGACGAATGCTCCGGGCCAGTGGTTACAATGGTGGGGCCAGTGATAATACAATTCCACCGGCCCGCATTTTACCCTTAATGTCTACCCCTGGTGGGGGACATAGTGCACTTGCNGCCTTCCTGTCATTAGGAGTTAGAAATGTAATGGCTATGTAGTAGATTAGATTACAACCTTCATTATCCTAAACTGCTGGGACATTTCCCTATAGCAAATACCTTTATATTTTCGACTCTTCACTTACTTGTTAGCATAGGCCACTCCCCTTCAGACCGAACCAACTATCCATTCACCACCACCAATGTCAAGCTAAGCCACTCCCCTTCAGACCGAACCCAACTATCCATTCACCACCACCACGGTCAAGCTAAGCCACTCGCCTTCAGACCGAACTCAACTATCCATTCACCACCACCAGGGTCAAGCTAAGCC